TCCAAGGATAATACATCTCTGTTCTTGAGTCACTTCACGGATTTGCTTTTAGAGTTGAAGTTTTAATCTACAAATTAAAGAGAAATTATGGGTAGTGAATATATGAAATAACTAGTTAAAACATAGTGTTTCCTTCTATGACGTAACATGACTGCTCATGGATCCCCTACCCTATTCAAAGCACATAACCCCACTTACTGGCACATACACTCCCCCTGCAACACGCTTTTTAAAAAACATTCATCTTTAATTTTTCCCGTAAGTAATACGCAATCTCAAGGTATCGGTGAAAGTCTTCCTTGCTTCTTTTAATCCAGTTTCCCATCACCACCACCGTTACCGCTAACCAAGCAAACGCTAATGCATATTCCTATGGATCCAGAAGTTCTGTATCTCACCATAGAACTATGCAATTTTTAATTTATATAATTGCTAGCACACTATATCCCAGGGCTTGTATTTCTTTTCCCTTATGCTGTAGGATTATTCTGTGCGGATATGGGAAGAGCTTCCTCATTCTGTAAAAAGGTAACTCTTTCTGGGGCCACTTCTTGTCTTAACAAGAATCATGTGAAAACACCTTAACTGAGTTCTCTCATTTATAAAAGTCCATCTTTCTGTTTCTATGCTAGATTCTTAAAATTCTTCCCCAACCACACATCAAAGTTCTGAACCTACTCTTATCTTCTCCCCTATACTCCAACAGCCACTTTGGACCTGGGCCATTGTCTGTGCTTGCTTCTGATGACCACCTAAGTATCCAAATCTTAGACCTTCTGATCTGTGCCTGAATCTGACCCTTATCAACCAGGAGTGTTCTTTTGAATTACATGGCTCCTTGGTAATCGCTGAGTTTATTATGTCCATTCTCTGGCCCAGACTGTTCCCTATGTTTCAAAATGATTAATTATAAATACCAGCTACATTTCAGCTCTTCTTATCTCAGTTGTTGATTCCAGGGAAAATGCTAAATTATATGTGTGCCTTTCTTCATTAACTCACAATAATCGCCTGTTTTGTTTGTTTAATGCCATTGTTGACTTTAAGGATGAGTCTTTTCTCTCACATACTTAAGTTTTCGGTTTAAATTCCCATAGCCAAGTCCCTTTGCTCAGTATGAAAATATTGCATAGGGAATATATTAGTTAGGGTTCTCCAGAGAAATAGAACCAATATGTTCTTTGACGTGTATTATATGTATGTATGTGTGCATTTATAGTGTAGTGTATATAGTGTGTATGTATGTGTATATATTTATTTATAGTGTGTGCATATATGGTATGTACATGTGTGTATGTGTGTGTGTGTAATATGTGTGAGGTTAGACAATTAAATTCACAAACTCATTCTAGAAAAAGGGCTACATACCTCATGCTGAATATGATTATTTTCACCTTCAAAGTACTCCCAAAGTACTCCTTCAAAGAATCTATGCACTAACACCAGTGCCTAGTCCATCTTTCAAAGCACTTTTTCCAGGATGAGTTCACAAACTTAATTGTCAGACCTCATATGATGACAAGTCTGATAGCCATTCCAGAAAAAGAGTTACAAAATTGCTTTGAAGGTATTTAGCACTTTTTCTAGCATGAGTTTGTGAACTTAATTGTCCAACCTCATTTTTTATACTGGTTCTGTTTCTGTGGCATGTGTGTGGAGAAAGAGAAATTACAAGAAAACAGCTCATGTGATGATAGAAGCTGAACAGTTCCATAAATTGTTGTCTATAAACTGGGGGCCCAGGAAAACCAGTGGTGTAATTTTAGTCCATGTCTGAAGGCCTGGGAGCTGCGGTAGGCAATGTTGTACTTCCCAGTCTAAGGACAGAGAAGATCAATATCCCAGCTCAAACAGGCAGGCGGAAAGCATGTAAAACTTCCCTTCCTCTTTTTGTTCTTTGCAGACCCTCAATGAATTGAACAATACCCTACCACACTGGGGAGGGCAATCTGCTTTACTAAATCCACCAGTTCAAATTTTAAATGCTCATCTTATGTAAAAAATAATCCTCATGTCTAGGATTCATAGACACACCCAGGACCAATGCTTAATCTGGGTACTGTGTAGCCCAGCCAAGTTGACACACAAAATTAACTGTTACAAGACAGTCATGTCTATGACTACTCTCTTTTACAGCTCTTTTTTTTTCCTTTTAGATATACACCTTCCAAAAGTTCTCAGCATCTCTTAGATACTTTCTGACATCCTCTAAAACTCAGAAATGATGTCAAAGTCAGCAGCCATTTCTTCCAGGACCCTGAGTCTACCTGCCTACTAAATAATTCTATCTTCCTATTCTTCATAGAAGAAAAAGAAAAAAAGGTGGTCTTTATCCTTTGTTTTCTTTCAACACTGTAATATTACTTGTCAGCTAACTTATAGGTCTGCTTAGCCTTGAGGTAGCCTTAGGATACTAACAGATGTTTAAGGGTACACCAAAACTACAAAAGAACAGAAATCATTATAGTCTCTCTGTTGCTTCTCTTGGTTAATAGTAGCACAATGTTCCAGGTCACTAAAGATGAGAAATGGATAATCACCTTCAATGCCTCTACATCTCCCACCCCAACATGAGATCAGACTTCTCAATATCTTTGAGATCCAAGACAGTGTCTTCTTCATGGACACACACCAGGCTCAAATTCTCTGTACCTCTACTATTTCTTCTCTTTAATCCACCTTCTAGGTAGGGCCTTTGGAATGACAAATATCTACTTTCCCCTGTGCTGCTTCTTCTTCTGTCTAAAAGGAAGGTCACCAATTTGATGAGTCAGGATCCACACATGTCCTTGGGCTGCACATGCAAGGTCACTGTGGATTAATCATCACACCCATAGCTTTATGTTATGTTTTGTTTTTGTGTTCTATGTTATGGCTTTTTTTTTCTGTTTTGTTTTCTCCTTTTACGGAACAGGAATAACAAAGCAGCCCAAGCATTTTCCCACATGGAAGAAATCAACTTATCCAGTTTTCATGTTCTTCTCTTGCTATATATTTCAGTCCACCAATCTCAAAATTTGTTGCCCTTGTCCTTCCTTGAGGCAATTTGAAGTACGATGCCAGGTTAGACTTTGGGCTTAGAGAAAGAAAAGATGCTTTTAGGCTTCTGGTCTACATGACATGTCCAGATCCCACTTTACCAGAATTCTTGGCATTAAGAAATTGAGGAATAAGTTCCAACCAATAAAAAAATATTTATTTTTAAGCCTTTCTTTACTTTTGACACCAAACATGAGCATTTCCCTTGGCAACCTTATGAGATAAATGGCTGTGGTCTTGTTAAAATTTGGATACCAAACCACCAGCCTTAATAGTCCCACACATCACAAAAGGCCTGGTCCTAAAGTTTATGTTCAGTTTATATTCAGTTATGCCTTCTGTGAATGATCTGATGTCTTGCTTGCCTTTATCAGGAACTACATATGCTTAAGTCTTTAGAATGTCATTGAAGACTATCCAATATCTAAGATAAAATCTCCCTTTCCAATTTCTTCATTCTTTTTTATTTTTATTATTTTTTATTTTTATTATTTTTATTTTATTTTATTTTATTTTTATTATTTTTTATTTTTATTATTTTTTTTT